AGCCATCCCCACATTTACTTCCTTTTTAAAAAGTTTTTCTTTACTTGTTTACTTGTTTTTCAACGCAGTGTTTCAATAGACATAGAGAGATTGTACTTATAACCAAGTTATAAATACAATGAGGTTCTAACTGTAATATTTATTGTTTATTTATTATTGGCTGGTAATTCTTGTTACACCCTGTACTTAAGCTTTTTAAAGAAACGTCAGATTTCTGTAAGAAAGCTAACTTCAAGGGGTAATAATAACATCGTTTATATTAGATTTATGATTTTTTTAAATTACTACTAGTTATTAATAATACTTATAAAAGCGTATATTCCGTTTCAAACTATGTTATCTAAGTGAAATTGGTTGACACCATTGTTTTGGTTTTCGAGTTATCATGTAATATAAAAAAGCAGAAGAAAGACGAACAAGAAATTCAAACTTTTTGCTATGATATTTACAGACATTCCCAGAACTTGTAACTGAGTAATGACGTAGATATTGTTATAAAAGGAAACACTGTATAGTATTGTAACGTTCTGATGACCTATTGAGGAGATATTTAAAATACCGTTTCGATGAACAACTCGAGCCATCCCTATGTAGGCAGTGCTACCGCCTGCCTGATAACTTTGATGTGCCGAAAGTTATAAACTCACTTCTACAAATGTACGATTTCCCTTATTTAATTGAAAGTTAAATTAAAAGCTCAAAGTCTGGTTTAGATTTACGAACTCAACAAATCTTTATTTTCTTTAGCTGCCATAAAAACAGTTGTTATTGATTAAGTATTGTCACTTTATCACATTTCACCTTTAATCACAACATTATTTGTTTTCTCTTTTGATTCACGAGCATGGTTTACTAATACATTGTTGTACACGATTGTAGTTTAAATCTTATATAGTCGCCAAACAATAGTGAGAACCAACACTATATGTATTTCGTTATAACTGTTTCGACCATTATTTTATTGGGTAGTACAGTAATTTCACTATACTCTTTACGTTGATCAGGTACTTAATCGCAGCATGGACCCCCGAACCTATGAACAACAGCAACCTTTGATAGCGAACATTCCCCAAGTCCCATTGCTTCCACAGCAGTTGCTTCCCTCTGGATCCAGAAAAGATTGTATACGACTTCGGGGATTGCCATACGAGGCACAGGTGGAACACATTCTTGAGTTCTTAGGGGATCACTCCAAAAACATCGTTTTTCAAGGAGTTCACATGGTTTATAATGCTCAAGTATGTGACTTCATCAGAATTCATAAATAATACTAACCAAACATTTATCTTATTTTAAGAAGTAACTTTAAAATTAGTGATTATTAAAGCTGGACAGTTAAGATCGTTTTTGGATAATTATAAATCGTTTAGAGACTACTGAAATAATAATAACAGACAATAATTAATACAAACAAAAATTACAAAAAATACTAAAAAAAAAATCGTGCTACATAGATTAGGCCTAAGGAACAAAGTTTTTATCAGCATCTTGAAAACACCGTTTAATCCTAGAATATTGAATAATTGCATCATTTCGTTAGCCACATTTGTTAAATGTTTGAAGTTTCGATCCATTAAACTAAGTACTTCTCATGAAATAACAAAAATTATTGAGTGAATTTTCTGTATCAACAAAAAAACAGCTCGTACACATACAGAAGTCGTTACTTAGCAATACTTCAGTTATTGACAAAAATATTTTGTGTGAATCAAGATTTAAATTGTGCTCAAAACCATCTAAAGCAGAACTGCGTGTGCATAATTCTGCTCTGGAACGTATTATAACATTTTAATGTATTTTATACCAGCTGACTTACCTGTTCAACATTCGGTAATGATACATTGGAGGTAAATTCCGAACAATGATCATCCTTAGGGTACATGCCAGCTTTGGTAACAATCTGTCTAGCGGTTCGCCAATTATAAGCGGACACACATACGCACACAGGCTTTTTCAAATATTAAGTTAGATGACTGTAACAGATACTGATTTTGAATTTCTAAGGATTTATAACAGGTCGTAAAAGAGTTTTTTTTTATCCTAGCAATTTCAATTAACAAGCAAACTTAACTATTAAAGTTTTTTTTTTTTAAAACATTATTAACATTGATGTTTACGAACAATTTTCTTTATTAAAGTAAATTTCTGATATAATTATGGAAAGAGGAAAACATTCTGTTTATTTCTTTTGTACTGTTTTTCGTAATGATCTTAGTGGCATGATAACCGAGAAAGTCTTGTCGCATTTTAAACACCATTAAAAGTACTGTTAGCCCGGCATGGCCAGGTGGTTAGGGCTCTCGACTCGCAATCAACGGGTCGCGAGTTCGAATCCCCGTCACACCAAATATGTTCGCCCTTTCACCCGTGGGGACGTTATAGTGTGACGGTCAGTCACACTATTCGTTGGTAAAAGAGTAGCCCAAGTGTTGGCTGGGTGGTGGGTGGTGATGACTAGCTGCCTTCCCTCTAATCTTACACTGCTAAATTAGGGACGGCTAGCGCAGATAGCCCTCGTGTAGTTTGTGCGAAATCCAAAACAAACAAACAAAGTATTGTTAATTAACAGATCCAATAACACATACAGAAAAATATTTACCAGTTAAATAGTATTAAAAATCAGTTCTTTTTTCTTCTTATATTTGAAACATGGAAGCGGAGAAATGTTTTCCGTTTGTGGATTTAAAACGTTGGAAAAAACAAAAGTAGGTGCATGTCTGACATGCGTGAAGCAATAATTTATCTGAAACGTAAGTTAAGACTTTAGACATCTATCTTATTACTTTAACAATTCATTTGATAGTTAACGGTTGTTTGACTAAGAAAAAAATAAACCGTTTGCCAAAAATGAGCTTTCAATATTAAGAGTGAACAAACTTAAGCATGTTGAGAAACACTTGAGCAATAGGAGTAGACAAACTTTTCTTTTTATTATTCTTGAAAAATTATTTCAAGATGAAGAATGGATCTGTATCCTAGCTTTCTGTTGTTCCTTGCCAAATTATTTAAAACTTTTTTTTTTTTTTACTGCCCTTGATACGAGAAAAGATTTGAAGAGTAAAAGCGCGGATAGTGTCGATTTTTGTTTGTTAGTCCTTAAAAACAGTTTGAAGGTTAAGAGTGGGCAAAGTCAGGGTTTTATTGGCCTTTGAAAAACAAATTGAAGATTAAGAATGAACAAAGTTGGGGTTTTCTTGTCCTGTGAAAAACAGATTGAAGAGCAGGTAAAGTTGTGGTTTTCTTGGCCTTTGAAAAAACAAATTGAAGCTTAAGAGTGGACAAAGTCGGGTTTTTTATTGTCCCCTGAGAAATTAGTATTTTGTTAGCTACCGAGAGTATTTTATTATTGCTATGTTTTTAACAAAGGTCTGTGATAAGACTATTAAAAGGGTAGTTGATTGTTTTTTTTTGTTAAGTATAAAGCTACACAATGGGCTATTTGTGCTGTGCCCATCACGGTATCGAAACCCAGTTTTTAGCGTCATAAGTTCAAAAGACTTGTGGCTGATTCACTGAGGGGCATGTTACAGGTCTTCCGTTTGATCACAGAACTTTAAAGTGCCCCTGTTTAGGAACATTAGTTTAAATTGTGGGTTGGTCCTGTGGTACAGCTCTGGATTTCAGAGCTAGCGATGCGGGTTCGAATCCATGCGATAGTTTAAAATATTCTTCGCACTATAAGATGTTGGTGTGTTATAAAAGTGATAGTCAAACCCTTTATAGCATGGAGGGTGGGTGGTAGGGTGTTGCTGATTGGCTTCCTGTCTTCTGGTGAGTAGTTTAAAATTAGGGACGGCGGCCAATAGTCTTATTTGCTTTGTTATAAATACAAAATACAAGTACGGTTTTAATATTGTAAAAGAAGTATAAGATTATACGATATTTGTTCTCTTGAGAAATCTTACTATTGTATCTGAAGTACGTGTTTCATGCGAACAAGAAGTCAGACATTCTAAACACGTGGCTTATCTAAATAAACATTTTAAAAACTAAAATCTCAATACTTGTTTCTATTCTAGAGGAGCGGTTTCGTCTTGGGTAACTTACAGAGCTCACTGAACCTCCTTTTCCTAAATAATGCCTCCCCCTCCTCCGAAAACTCAGCAGTGGGCAGAACACGTATAACTCATCGTGCAGCTTTGCACTGAACAACAAACAAACAAACAAAATCCTCTAGCTAAAATTTAAGTGTTAACTTGCTGACAATGAAAATAATCAAATGTGTAATGTGTATTACTTACCTTGGTAAATAGATAAAACAAAATATTATAGTATACGAATGTTATGTGTCTGTCTGTCTATATATATAATGCTATGCAATACATTAATTGTTCATAGGCGATTAAAATCAGCACTGTAAAACTATAGTGAAGTTAATATAAACCAAAAAAAAAATTATATATATATATATATATATATATATATAT